CATTGCCTGGTCACAGGTTGGTCTGTCTGCTAGCTTGGTGGTATTTGTCTGCATCGTCATACGTTGTCGACTACTGTGATGTGGAATATGATGTTTTGAAAACCTGAGAGATGCATAGGGCCCCAGGAAAAGTAAATGGTTCTATGCAACGCTGAGATATTTCAGAACATCATATCCTACATGACGGCAGTCAGCAACTGCTTTGTCATGTATTTGTCTTGATGATGGTTTTTCACCTGTTTTTTTTTCTGAGGGAAATTAAAGGCCACAAAGAAATTTTGAACAGTGGTTTGTGTGATTCATAGCAGTCCCTGCATTATCTTGTCCACTTTGGGTGTATGTGCATATGTGCATACGCGTAATGTCATGGAATGCTGGCTGATGTGATGTTTAACAGCTATGTTTCCGTCATGTGATCGTTCTGGGCCAATGGAAAAGCAGTATTCAAGACAGAGGTACATGTATGCTAAGTACAGGTACATTGGATGACTCTATGATGATCAGACAGAGACTGCATTTGCTCACCAGGATTCAGTATTCCAATCTGTTTAGTTGAAGCCTACCACACATCTTATTTGATATAATATGTTTGCCAGGTTTTTTTTATATGTATATGATGAATGAATGGCCAACTACAAACTTGGTAACCAACCATCATCGTCTTACACTGTAGGATGGTTTGCTGGAAAGTTATCTGGAAAGGGACCTGGTGCTGAAAAGGGGCTCAAATTCAAAGGCAGACTCTTTATTGGAGCCAGGATTCTGGTGGAAAATCTCAAAATTTTAATAACTTTCAAAAGATTTGTAAGACATGTGTACATGTATTACTATCAATTTGTCTGAACAGCTCTAAGATTGTATTGTTTCTGCCTTTTATTAGCATGTTTATAAGGGAGAACATTTACAAAAGCACAGAGTAAGCACCTTTAAATTCCCTTTCATAAATACCATTTGAGTCAGAAAGTCAAAACAAATTTCTTACAATTTTGTTCAGTTGTCACTTCATATTTTCTTAAAATCGCTCTAGCCATGTTTTGGTATGGTATGTGTCTTTCAGGGGATTGGTGGACGTATGGTACATACTGCATGAGGTGGCCCAGAACATGAAAACACAGTCATTTTTTAAAATTATTATTTAAAACTGTCATGTGATGGACTATTGACCAATAGTAATTGCTAATTTGCCCTAGGTATTTACGGATAAGGAAATAAATATTTGTTTGGCTGGTTTAGACTTTTGTTCTCTAACTTGGCAATGACCCCCCCCAAAGACGGATGTCATTACAGCACACAGCAATGGCTTGTTTGCTGTGATTTACGTGTGTATGGCCAATTCTGTCCCCTGTACAAAAAGTCACAGACTGCCTACTGACTATTTTTACTTGCAGCATGTGGTATGCACAAATTTGGCTGGAACTGTGAGTTTGATTGTGCCTCACCTCCGTTCTCTTGTACCGGCCAGTTTGGTCTGCCAGATCCCTATGGGAACAGCTGCATCTCAGGCTACATGGGAGCATACTGTAGTAATCGTAAGTAACGTGACAGAATGTAATTCTTAAAGAACAACTCAAAGGAAAACATGTTTTCCTTTGAGTTGCTCTTTAATTACAGACTTTAACAGAGTTTGCATACTGTACAGTTGTTATTGTGTAATTCAACAACCAGTATTAAAAGCCAAAACTACGGTGGCATAACTCTCGTGGATAGGTTGTATATGCATGTTACATGCATCTTCAACCAATGGGGTGTCATGATTTGGCAAATGAATGCGAGTGTGAGTGTGATGCCACCACAGTTGTAGTGTCTAACCAGATTAGTTTATAGATTGCAGAAGAGATTAGTTTAACCTAAAATTAGAACTCCTTTGCGAACAAAAGAGTTTACAAGAATGTGTTGTTCTTGTATTGATTGGAACATAAGGAAAGCACATGTAGTAACATTTCAGTGGTCACGAGTGCAAATATATGAATTCTTACGATGATGATTGGCAGGACAACACTCTTCGTGCTCAGCTTTTGTTTAATTAGCTTTGAAAAGGTCTGTCACACCACTCGCTTTTAACATAAACTTAGCCTTTAGCTGCTTCTGTCATGTATTGCGCCCTGTAGGGTCTGCTCTTTCAATGTCATGGACATGTTGATTTTGCTTTTATACAAGTAGCTGATTATGGCAGATTTGCAGGACCAAAACAAAAAAAAAATCACAACTTTTAAAAAATCTAAATACTACATAAATACCAAATGACAATTCAGCCCTTTTAAAAAGGACATACTTTTTTAGGTAACGGTATAATCTGACACCAACCCAGGGTGTAATGCTGTGGCAAACTTTAGTCAGCAATATATATGTAATTATGTATAACGGTTTTGCCCTTACCCAACGTAAATAGTTCGCAGTACCCGCTGCTTCATTTGACTCGGACCGGCCAGCCGACCCCGGCAAGCTCGGTGGTCGAGTGGTTAAGACATCTGCATTAGTAAGCAGGAGATCGTGGGTTCGAGTCCCACCCGAGTAAGTTTGTGAGGTTTTTTCGCAAGCTCTAGGACAAGCACTGAGCATACAGTGCTTATTAATATACGTTGGGTAAGGGCAAAAACCGTTATTTATAATTAACATCTCCCCAACGCAAAAAAAAAGTACATCTTTAAAATATATATGTAAGTAGTGGGCAGTATGGGAGCACACTATAATACATGTAGTTAGAAATGCTCCAGCAATGACCACAGTGGCGTGTCTACAGGATGCATTTGTTTTGCTGCAGGTTGTCCCTCTGGAAGATTTGGTGCTGGATGTACCCAGACCTGTCGCTGTCGAGCAGGTGGTGAAGCTTGTGACAGATTCACAGGAGAATGTGCACTGAGTGGATGTCAAGACGGTTTATCTGGAACAAGCTGTCAAAGTAGGTACCATTTAACTTTTCATTCCAAAGTGACTCTGATATTGCAAAGTCCTCTACAAAGTATTTAGATTCAGTGTTGTATCAATGTATATGTATTCTTGGACTAGATCGCTGATGCAATGTATCATTTTGCTCAAAGTCTTGGTGTTAAGACTTTATGCTTCTCTATATGGATTAAATGAACTGTCATAGTTAAAAAAAGTTCTCCCTTACGTGTGCTTTGCTTTTCCCATGCAGTATCAGGCACATGCTCTACTGGCATGTATGGTCTAGACTGCCTCAGCAACTGTCACTGTGCTAACAACGCTGCCTGTGTCAGAGATAGCGGCTACTGCAGCGGATCTAATGGAGCCTGTGCGGATGGATTCAAGTCAGATGTGAATGCTAACAACTGCCAGACAGGTAGAGATTATTCCTAGAGCTTGTGCCAAGAGAAATCATGTGTTCATTTTTCTAAATATATGTTTCAATTCAATTTATTCACAACTTGGTGTGAGGGCATTCCTTCATGGGCTGTATCTGCATTTCATTGTTCATGTGAATTCAGTTATGAATGAGTAAGATCAGGATATTTGATGAAATGGGTGAATTGGAGAAAGTCAAAGGGCTCATTATTAACATCACAAACTGCAGAAGACTCAAAAGATGCTCTTTTCCCCACTAGTGGGTGGGGTCTTCACTTCATGAGGCTGTACTTGTGCATGACTTAGAAGCAGAAAAATATCCTGGCCCTGACAGTCCCAAATCCTCTGATTTCAATATGATTTTACACACACTCTAGGAAGTTCAGGGTTAATTTTCTTTGCTTGGAAGCTTGCCAACTTTGATATAAATCATTGGTAATGTACAATACTTCAATAAAATTTGAATATTAGTTATTTTTTTTACCCGTAGATGGTCAGTGAGGTCTGCTATGCTGAATTCTCAAAATGTTTCTACTCCAAAGTTTGAATTTGTTGCTGTCATAGTTTAAATGATGTACACAGAATACTCATGATTTATGCGGTTATTCTCAAAAAAGGTATCATTGAGTTCCAAATGTTGACCATGCCCAACCAAGGCCAAGTTGTGAATTTCAGCTGTGCTGCTACATCTGGGGATGTTCTCACGGCAGACTCGCTCATGCTAAGTGGCTCAGCAACATATACCTCAACCATGAGAGAGGGGAATGTTCTGAACAACACATTCACTATGTCTGGACTGAGTGACAATCAACAGATCATCTGCTATCTTCTTCGTAATGGTGGAAATGTACATGTAGTCCAAACACTGACAGTGTCCCTTTTCGGTAAGCATACAGTTGTGTTCTTTTGTGAAACATGCCATATTTAATTTTGATAGGGAATGTTTCTCATATTGTTTCGTTCTTAATTTTTTCGTTAATTATATGATCGTGCCGAGTTGCCATATTGTCATTTAAGTAATTCTTTTGGCATAACATCATATGCAAGTTCTTTTAAAAATAACTTCTTATTAATTACAATTATGCTTATACATGTAAACTGCTACAGATAATACTGCTCTCCTAAATAGCTTTATAGATACTGTTTGAAGCATTGGTTTGTTTTTATTGTTGAATTTGTTATTCCACCAACTCACTACATGTATTTGTAACTGATTTATTTTGGAATATTTTACACTATCATTAACTGGGTATGCAGCCTGTGCATTGTGGAGCACTTTGAAATAGCCACAATACAAACCCCTCACTCTTAAACGTGCGTTTAAGACTGGCTTCAGAGAATGGATGTGACTAATGCTTGAGTTGCAGGCGAGGGCATTATCATCGTTAGTCTCCTGAGCTGGTCTTAAACATTAGTTTAAGACTGACCAAGCACATAGTTATTCCTATTCATAAACACCTCTGTAGTCAGAGGGACAAAAGAAGTCAACATATGATGGATTTCCAAGGGTTTTGTTCAGCAATTTTACTTTCATTTTCCCGAACACCCTCGTCTATTTTATGGTATGTTCCCTTAAAAGTTGTCCAATAGAATCTCATTGTACTTGCCACTCGCGTTGCAAGCTGCGTGCACACAGACTCTTGACCAATCAGAATTGATTAGATTGTCTCACAACCAGGTGCCAGTGTGGGATTTACATAGCAGGTATTATCAAATTTATACCTGGTCAAGTGTTAGGTTGTTGAATAGGGAGACAGAGGTATTTTTGAATGGTAGGTAATGAAACTGTTGACAAATAAGTATATCCCCCAGTATCTTATTTGGAAAAAAAATTTCGTGGAACACTTGCACATTTTTTTTCTCTGCCTTTCATTACAGAATTGCTAATTGTCATTGTATTACATTTAATTTGGAGGAAAGGCATTGAGTTGGAAATAGAAACATTATGAGTTGTATAGGAACGTCAAAATGTATTTTGATGCAGTCTGCATTTCATCACCAGAGTGCTAATGTACTTCGCACTGCTGTGAGGGAAGTGACAGATAAACTGGGTTAACTCCACAGAAATCTTCCATAAATAATAGGATTACATTTCCTGAATGGATTTGTCCTTGTAGGAGTTCCAGTTCACAAAGGTTGGGAACCATTGACATCATAACTTGATGCAACCTTGAAATGTACTTTATCTTCTGACAGTATAAAGAATGATACAAGCAAGTAGTTGTATTTCAACTTGGCCTCAGTCAGGCCACAATGGAGCCCACCAGATTTGCTTACAAATATACAGGAATAACCAAGAAAATGGATTGCAACCTCCACTTTACAGTTTGGATAAGCTAAATGCTGAGCTGCCAAATGGGCAGAAGAGCTGATGGGATTTTTCACATTGTAAGGACATTCCATGACCTTGTAAAGACAGCCCTGTGATGAAGAGTTTTAAAAATATTTCTATTCAAGCAGGCAATTGATAAACCAGCTTTGGCTCATATGTTATTTTGTTACAGTCCCACCGTACCTTAGCCAGCCTCCTACAGTCATGGCTGGGCCACTATCAGCGACTGTAAGCTGGCAGGCATGGGGATCAGACATTTTGGATTTTGGAGATGGACCAGTCATCAAATATATTGTATACTACAATCAAGTACAAAGTGGTTTGTCTTCCGGTGGCGAGGTACAAGTAACAGACCTGTCCCAGGTTGAATATAGCTTTGTGGTTCAACCACTGGCACCGAGTACTCAATACCAATTTAGTGTGTCAGCAGTGAGAGATGGTCAAGGAGGTGGAGGGCCAAGGAGTCCCACATCAGCCTGGATATATCCTCTAGCAACACCCCCTCCAACTACTGAAGGTCCTGCCATCACAGAATCTTCCACAGGACGATTAACACCAGTGGTTACTACTGTAGAAGGGCTCACCACTCTAGTGGATTTGACCAGTCCATGTAAGAAAAGATTTAAGCCTCAGTACTGCTACATATTCTTGTACAAAAAGTAAATTTGGAATGCTTAATTTCCTTGGTTAATTTCCCACCATATGTTTTGAATGGGGGACTTTCCCTCCTTTTGGCAGGTCCTGCAATGGGGCAGGTCTTAACGAATTGGTCTATTAAAGTCTCACAGCTGTTCCCTCCCTCTTTGAAAATTGTTTCACTATTGCTGCTTCTTGCCTTCATAATTTTACCAGTCTTTTTTAAGGAGAAAGACTAATGAAAGGCTTTGGCAAAGTGTTTTGACCTTTTCAGACTTTCGAGTTAAATAACAGTACATGTAGTTTGCTGAGAATGCTGAGAATTTTAAGGATATGTGTTGTAAGGTGTTGCTGCTGTACAACAATGAACTTTTCCCCATAAGACATACTCTCTTAAAAATTTGTGATAAATTCCTATCAAAATATGTCATTTACTTTGTTGTTAAGGTACTCTGTTCAGATTTATAGTCATCTAAAAGACCCATGGAAATGATGCCCTTATGGGTGAATAAATGGGACTGTATTTTCTTCAAGAGGCTTGTTCTAGGTAAGGTATGGGTCAAATCAGTGGCAGCTGTCGTTCCAGCGCCCTTAGGATCATAACTGCATTACAGGGGCACTGATGGATTTTATGAATACATCATTACAACAACTGAAAGCGACCAAACATGTGGCACTCGAAGGTTCGTACATGTACCTCAGGCAAAGCAAATTCGACATTGCAAAACATTTGTAGTGACCTTTGTTTGATACACAATAAAAGTGTTTTATCTGGCATCACAACTTCATGTTTGCATTCGCTTCTGCCCCAAGTATGAACCAATCCCTGCTGTCTTGCCAAAAATTAATCTGCCGTACAATTTTCTTTTGTGTCCAATGTGTTGGAACCAAAGCTCATGACCCTAATAGCCCTGTATCTGTTGATTCTACCACGGTATCAACAGCCACCAATCCAACACCCATGAGCCTTGTCGGTGTGGTGGTTCCTGTCGTCATTGTTCTAGTTCTTCTCCTCATCTTGGTCATTCTGCTCATTGTTTTGGTGAAGCGCATTCGGTAAGTGGAATATGAGGAATTTGTCTCTCATTTTTCAAATGCAGATCATAGAAATACTGACTCTTCACAGCATTGCTGTTTGATTCTTCTAGTTTCTTCCGGATGATATTGAAAAATATACCCATGATGAAAACAAACTGAGAAAATGAAAAAATGTTTCTGATAGAAAGATAAAGATTATATTTCTAATACCGATAACACATATCTGAATTCAAATCAAAGTTAGACTGATGCATTGTTATGTTGGTCAGAAAGGCCAAACCCATCCCTGCCCCAACTGGGCTTTTAATTTTCCTTGATGCTGGTCCAGTACATGGGACTGCTCGATATGAGGAGCATTGCTCCACTATGGATCCAGCCAGCAGTATGTGACTGAATGGCTCAAGAAAGAGGTATCGGGCCATTTTCTTCCAGTAATTTTCATTTCGGTTTGCATTAGAAAGAGTAAGATTATCCGTTTGTTTTGATGGATCAATCATTTTGGCATCTTGATACAATGGACATTTTGTGGGTGAAAAAGTGAAGATTGATTTCCATGGTGTAACATTGTTCAAAAGGCCTGTCACACAAAACTGTTGTATGCTACTTGTACAGAGCAGGTTGCATACACGTATGTGGTGTGCTTTCCCATATACTGCTGCTGATCAGTTTATAGAATGTGCAACATGCTCTTCCATTCAGCCAATTTGGTTGTGGATAGAAAGGTTGTAATGGGTGAGAAAATTAAAAGAGGAGGAAACCCCAAATCATTACCCATTATGCCATATTGCAACTGGTTCTTTGTTGAAATGCTGTTTGCCAAAGTATTAAATAACGGAGCTAGAGTTGACATTTTTCAAGGTCTGTTTTCTATTATCCTTTCCAGTGATAAGAAGCATGCAGAAGTGGATGGTGGAAGTAGTATGCAGGGCAAGTTTGAAAGCAGCAATGACTGTAAGTTAGAGGTCTTGTTCATGTGGGTTTTCTGTTACCAGAATAGTGATCTTTGAAAACCTTGAACTTTCCAAGTAGTGGGTCTTTCAAAGCATAGTTTTCTGTATCTTCCCCAATCCGGAAGACCAGGCAGGAAAACACTCTAGGGGCATACACGTATGTAGTTAATTTGTAATATTTTCAAAAACATGGAATAGAGTACATTAATATGAAAATTTAGTTAGTTATAAATGTAGATATCCTTCAGTAAACATTACCCTCAATTACTGATGTTGATGTACATAAATTTGGGAGACTTCCCACCAGAATTGGTAATTTGACTACATTGGTTGCTGTAACATTGTACAACAGTAATATTTGTAGATGACTGATGCATCTTAAGTACAGGACCGTATGTGTATCTTCCCTTAAGCACGTTAAGCAAGCACAGACTTCCTTCTAAAAATTATGCAGTGAATACAAAGCTCTTTTGCTTGTAGGAAGCAAAATATGACAAGTGGAACTTGTAAAAACCACATTCTAAGTCAACATGCTGTGTCACAGTGTTATTTTGTTTGAAGCACTGTGGTAAGAATTAGGGGTCATTCAAGCCGAATCAAGTGCAGCTCCTTTTAAGTGTTCATGGGGCTTTGTGCGAAGAAGTTTATTATTCTTAGTTTAAAGGAACTGTCTCATTTCTTGCCATTATTATTGAGACAATTTAGCAAAACATTTTAAAAATCAGTGTTTTCTCTTTTCATGTCACATAAGAAGAGACAAGACGTTGAGAACACTTTTTTAAGTGTAACATTCCAAAGGTGTGACTTTCAATTTGTAGTTTCCATAAATGTAGAGAATTTTCAGCATTAAAAAGCATTTAATTAAATTTCTGCAAAGGCCTAAGTCTGTTTTGTCATGGTTCTTGAAAACACTTTCATTGCAGTAGCCAGCCTTCAAACAATAGACAACCCCATCTCCATCCCCATGGAGGACATCAACTCCAACCCCAATGGGGATGTGGTCCCAGCGATGACCCTCGCAGTGCGGCCAGAGTCCAGCGTCAGCCAAATCTCGACGCTGGACAGCAGCTCACCATTTGCTGGCCTGCCCCTCTATCCTACCAGGGAGAGGGAACTCAAGAAAGATCCCATCCCACTCAAGGACTTTGTGGCATACGTACGGCAGGCCATACAGGGACACCACCTCAGGGACGAGTGGTCTGTAAGTGCACCATAGATCCCAGGGGAGGGCCAGGGTTTTGAATGGAGCTGCTGGCAGTATGTTGCAACCTCGGACAAGTTACTTTACTCCCTACTTAAATCTCTCTGTCCAGGGTCGAGTTTGGGCGGCCTGTTCATGACACGGGTTGTACGTTCCCGGTGTTCAAGCGGCCGACTAACGAACAACAAATTGAGCGGTTCGTGAACATACAAGAACAAGCCGCCCGAACTCAGCCCAGGTGTCTTAACGGATACCCAAATTAGCTGGTAACCCCCTGGAATTGACAACCCATTGAAGGGGAATGGAAATATTCTCAGTTGTTTCATGGAGGGAAATTGAAGATAAAATACTGGTATGACGAGCCACAGTGGCTCAGGACAGACTTAAATGTATTTGCTGCTGCATCAGTATGTGACTAAAGGAATAAAAGATGTGCTTGGCTGGTCTTGAACATGTGCTCAGGAAAATAGACGCCACTAATGCCCGTACCACAGGCAAAGGCATTATCAGCATTCCTTCTTCTGAGCAAGGTCTTAAATGTTAGTTTAAGACGGGCTACATAATCCCATTCATTAATACCTTTTTTATGCCAAGAGTCAAAAGAAGTCAACATATGATGGATTTCAAACGATATTGCTCTAAAATTTTACTTTCATTTTCCCGAACACCCCTGTCCATTTTATGGTATATTCCTTTCGAAAATTGTCCAGTAGAATTTCCTTGTATATGGACTTGGTAATGACCAATAGGGATTGAGTAAACTGTCTTGTTATCCAGGACCAGCATGTGTTTTATGTAGGGGGCGTTATCACATCTCAGCAGGCGTTATCAAATGTTAATACATGGTCAAGTTGCGTGTTGTTGAATAGGGAGACTGTCTAAGGTATTTATGAATATTCATGTACATGTAAGACTGGCTCAAGAGAGAATGGACGTGACTTATGCCCAAGCCTCAGGCTAGGGTATTTTCAGCAATTCATGCCATTCCCATTCATAGCTGACTTCTTTTAGTCAGAGAGTCAGCAAAAGTCAATATACGATAGATTTCCAATTATTTAGTTCTGGAATTTCACATTCCCAAACACCCCCATCCACTTATGGTTTATTCCCCGTGCAAATTGTCAAGCACAATTTCTGTACAGTGTATATAGACTTGGCATGCACATTGCGCATTCTGCTTGCTGCAGCACACGTAAACTCTTGACCAATAGGGATGGCTTAAACTGTTTGGTATCCAGAGCATTTTTATGCAGCGGGCATCATCAAATGTTAATACCACTCACATTGCATGTGTTAAATAGGGAACTGTCTGAGGTATTTATGAATTCTAGTTAAGTTATGAATTATTGAGTAAATATGCTTGCATATGCTGTTTTAAACATATATCATAGGTTATTTTTGAATTATTGCACACATAGTGTTACTGCATTTCGGTGTCCTTTAAATAGAAAAAAATGATCTTGAATTTGTGAATTTTTGTGTGACCTCGTTATTCTTACCAGGAAAAGCTCATACATGTAGCTCTTGTATACTGCTCGCATACATGTATCACCTCGTATATGGATCATTTAAAAAATATTGATTTTACAGTATGGTGGTGAATGAGAAAAATACCTCTCAGCAGAAACGCACCTTATCCCCAGCAGTTCTCAATCCTCCAATTAAATACGATTTTACATGCACCCAAATGTTTTAAGTGTGTTGGATTCTGACTGTCATTTGACATATTACTTCCTTTGCCAGTCCTTCCCCGGAATAGAAGCAATATGTTCCTGTGATGTCTCCCAGCTACCTGACAACAAGATGAAGAACCGATATCGGAATATACCAGCATGTAAGATGTTCATAGATAAAGTGCTGAAATAGATTTATTTCCTTACAAGATGACAGAATGAAACCTGTAAAAACCCCCCCAAAATGGCTAGTTGATCAGTTGTGTGATATGGGTTTCTCCCATGACTCTGGCAACCTTTGGCTCATTGTCCGGAGAAGCAAACACTTTCCATATGATTTTATTCACTACAAGATTTTTATCATTCGGATATTCCAAAATGCATCTCGTCTTGACAGCTACATTATCAACGATATACTTTTATTTTTTTTACTCTTTTGAGTTTACATTTTTTGCTGTTATATTTACTTTAAATGTTCTGTGTTCTCAACAAAAACTAGTTTCTATTTAAATGTATTTCTAGCATTGTTTCTTAATGTGTTAATATTACCAGATTATGATTAGTGTTAAGTTAATACCAAGACTTTAGATATAGTGTTTATATGCCATTTGTGTACTATCTGGTGCTGTCTCGATTTTTAATTTAGATGATCATTGTCGTGTCATTCTGGAACATGAAAAGGAAGATCCTAATTTGGGCTACATCAATGCCTGCTATATCAAGGTGAGATTACAAAAAGATTCAGCAGTGTAATGGAATATGTCTGTTAATAGACAAAGTATTGGAATTTATTGAATAGTATCACAAATTTATGTGTCCTATGTGAAAACTATACTATACAGCAAGATACGGTCACTTTTTGAACTTTCTGATTTGCCAAGATAGGTTATTCACTTGTATCATGAGTTTAAATATTTGCATATGCAGAAGTCTGCTGCAGTCAGAGTTTTTAAGGGGATTTTCCTTTTTCAGGGTTACAAGAATGACAAAGCCTACATAGCAACTCAAGGTTAGTATTACTACCAATTTCTTTGTGAAGATATGTTGAATTCACAGAGTGAAATAGCATGATGTTTTAGTGCTAGAGCTGTATTGTAAATTAATTTTTTGCCCCGCCCAACGTGTATTTTAACACTGTATGCTCAGTACGTCCCCCCAAAGGCTTGTGAAAAAACCACAAGCGTACTCGGGTGAGAAAAAAGCCTGGCAGATTACATTGTGAGATTCTCTGCTCAAAACAACGCATTTGCTGCATATCATTAACTGATAATCTCTGAGACCTTTGCCCCTATTATTCCTTCTAATATCATGTGAAGGTTTAAGTAGTTTCCAGCATTATCCATGATTTGCTTTTCTTTGCCGTGTTAATAGGGCCCAATCAGGCCACATCACATGACTTCTGGAAGATGGTGTGGCAGGAGAATGTCCGCATCATTGTCAACGGCACCAACCTTGTGGAAGATGGAAAGGTTAGTCCAACATGGAACTGAGCAAACTGATGTGTGACCCGCTCTGCAAAAAGGCACATTGTGTTGTAAAGGAAAATAGAGTTACATGAATGGCTCAAAACCCAAAGTATAAGCTTCCATTTCCTACATGCAACTCAGAAAATGGATTTTAAAGAAGGCTAATATAAATTTAGAGGCAGAACACTCACCTTAACTCTCCCTAGCAACCAACATGTTTTCTGTAGCCATGTTGCACAGCATGGTTCCACATTTTCTGGGTTGTCTTAGTTGTGTCAAGGTCTTGCACTGTTTCCATGCATTCACTTGAAAAGTGAAACATGCTTTTTTGGCTCAGAAAACATATACAATTACTTACTTTCTTTACGTCTTAGATTATTGGGATGGGATTGACTTAATTCAAATTTAGAATAGAATTCAAAGTGGATGGACCTAAATTTAATTTGTTTCAGTTATCAGTTATTTAGATCAGTTGTCCACTATGTTATTGCTTCAGTGTGAGTTGAATTTGATGTAATTCATTTGTGAGACACTTCCATTTTTGTATTTTGTATTTGCAGAACAAGTGTGCCAAGTACTGGCCAGACATGGAGCAACTTGAAACTTTTGGTGGCATTTCCATCAGCCTGGTTAAAGACGAAACTAGAGGGGAGTACAGAGTCAGGACGATGATCATAGCAAAGATTGTAAGAAATATCTCTTCTATCTATTGTTCTGGTTTGACACAAAGTCTTACAAAAATGTTGTATGTACAAATGGGGGTGGGTTTAGTAAGCAACAGTACTTATTGTTTCGAGATAACACACCTAGTTCTAAGCACAGAATACATCTACTGTAAGTAATATGGCAATATGGCATATCTGTTGTCTCTTTGCATGGCTTGTGGCAATGCTCTCAATATTCATGGCAATTGTTGCCCAAGTATGCTTGAAATGTGACAATCTTGAATTCATGATCAGATGCAGAGAAAATGTTTTCCAAAATGCACAATGTGAATTTTTAAAACAATTTGACATCTGCCGGGCACTGCAACATGTTTATAGCAATTTAAGCTAGGTGTATATTGGCCGGCCTGTTAGGTTTCAATGTGGGATTTCATATTGAGTTCTTTTTGTTGATATTGTAGAAATCTCCTGTTGGTGCTCAATATCTTTTAGTCAAAATTTCTGTGCAATAGTTGTACATTCTTTGTTATGCAGTTTTCAAAAGATTTTCTTGTTATCAATGCTCTCTTGTACTTAAAACAGGGTGACAGCAAAGCTACACCCAGGACCATCCGACAGTTCCACTATACCAGCTGGCCTGACAAGGACGTTCCAAAGGATGTAACTCCTGTCTTGAGGCTCATCAAAGACTTCTCAGATGCAACACCTGAAGGAGCAGGACCCTATCTCATCCACTGCAGGTGTGAACCTTGCAGTTCCCGGAAGATATCAATTTCAGGCTTCTGCAAACTGCTTACCAAGGGCATAAAAAGTTATTTGGGCTTGTACTGTCAATTCCATCAAAACCTCTCTCAAAGGCAAATGAGACAGTTCTTATTAAGATCAAAATGTCCGTCTTTCCAAGTTTTACAATTTATTTTCATTCCCTTTGTATGTTCCCTTTACTTCCACAACAGTGTCAAAACTAATTTGTTTTTCTGTTGCAAAATCTTGAATCGTGAAAGTGCTTTCAAGTGAGAAACTTGTATTGGAAGGCATTGATACAAAAATTTGATTTCACCTACACATTGTTTGACTAGTAGAATTAATTTTGGTTTGGTTTCCAGTGCTGGTGTAGGCAGGACTGGTGCCATCATAGCCATTCATGCCTTGCTGCAACAAGCTCACGCAGAGAAGACTCTTGATATCTACAACTTTGTAGCTGACATGAGAGACCACCGTGTCAGCATTGTACAGACCCCGGTAGGTTGACCTAACAGTAAAGACCTTTGGTATATTATTTTCTTGGGAATTGTTAAAGAAAACTCAGAAGCATTGTTTTGGAAATTACCATTCACAAGAAATTTTCACATTGTGAATTAGCAATACTTGGCTGGATGTCAGTGTTGAATGATGAAGTTACTGGGAATGCTTTAAGTCATATTCACTTTGCATCAATTAGGAGCCTGATTTGATGCATCAGGTACATGTATATATTTATACATTTGCCCTTCCTACCTTGAATTTGAAGTTTTGTGATCTCTTACAAACTGTGAGCAGCAGTGTTGGCATTGTGCCCTGATATTCTTGAGTTAGGTTTCATAAGTTCCTCTTTCCTTGTTCTTACAGGTTCAGTACATCTTCGTCCATCTGGCCTTGCTGGAGGCTCTGTTTTCAGGTGACACCTGCATTCCTTCATCTTCCCTTAAGAAGAGGGTGGCAGAACTCAAGAAGAAGAAGAAGATGGCTGAAGAATTTGAGGTTAGTATTCATTTTGATTTTGAGCTGTTTGAAAAGAGATATGGTTTGGAACCTCTGTTTGTGAAGGAGTCCATTTCAAACTCTTCGTTAGGTTGAGTTCATTGTTTGTTTCAGCGAGTACAGATATGATCTAAATGATTTTACAATGTACTGTAGAAAGTAAGAGTGTTTGCATGCATCTGCTGCAAATTCCATGTTGTGTAATAAAGTAAGCTGTTGTTTAAATATAGATTTCCTCACTTTGGAACATAAACTTCCGAAAAGTTGTTTTTCTGGATGTAATAACTTTTTGCAAGTGAGTTAAGTGCATTGACAAACTTGCAATTAATGTCCTATCAGTCAAGTTTGGCTGGTTTGTATTGCCTGAATGGAAAAATTTCTGTTTTGTACAAAATTCTGTGCTTTGCTTGAAGGTTTTTTGTCTTTGTCATGTCATTTGGTGTATTTCAGCAACTGAACACGATCAGCCCTGTGCCCATTGCCGAGAGATGCCGCTCTAGCGTGATGGAAAGCAATCACAACAAGAACAGGTTGCCTAGTGCCCTTGTCCGTAAGTCAGCCATGTTAGCATAATAGGAGCCTGTCAGTATCCACATCAGTGCAAGGAGGGAATTATAAATGGATTCTAGGTGTCCATAGGGTATTGTTTGATGGTCATGTATTTCCAGAGGGTGTCCAATCTTCCTATAATTTTGCTGCTAATCAAAAACAGTTTAACAATTTGCAGGTTGTTTGCCTGTCGCCCCCTCATTTACCAAAGTTACCAGTTTTTTACACCCTTCATTGTGAAGATGACCCCCTCTGCGTAATATTTTCCCCAACTTACTTTCCATCACCATTGGTTAATTTAAAGTTTTACATCAATGGATTTTTCCCTTCAGCTGAAAGCTGCCGGCCATTTTTGATGACTCCAAGAGAAGATGGCATGGAGTATAACTACATCAATGCCGCATTTGTGGATGTAAGGTTGAATTTGTGGACGGGATACTTGCTTAAAGAAAGGGTCTTGTTTGTGATTGATTCTTTAAAGTGACACAACGTCATTGTGAAATATGAAGGGATAATACTTTTAGACCATTGAGGATGACCAGGACACTATACTCATGTTGTATCCCGGTCCATCTGTAAACTTGACGAGTCTGGTCATAGGCAGAAGGAGACGACCAGTGACAAAGAGAACCTTTTGTTTTGGGTTCCGTTTGAAAAGCATGTGACTTTCCTGGGAATAGCATTACTTGTGATTGACTTATTTGGGGTTGTGAAGACTTAACAGCATTCATTGTTAGTAGCCACAATCTGTTACCATGAACTGAAACC